TGAGACATCAGTGAGGCAGACAAACAGCGGGAGTCTGTTCCCAGTGTGTGCATGCGCAGAGTTGCCAGATGAAGGGAACCGTTAAAGAACAGGGGTCGACTTGGGAGTAAGGCCATAGGTGGATGGTGAATGGCCCCTCCCAATTAGGGAATAAAAGAGGATTGAAAAGGGAGGGGGGTTTGCAGGAGACAATTAGTTCATTCCTGCATTCTTGCCAAGTATTGTGGGCATATGAAAGATATCGGCCTGGCCACTCTCCAAGCCTGATAAAGGTTGGTAATTGTGAACTATCTTGAAAGACTGTGGGAGAGGAAAGAGTTTGCTGGAGAGGAATTCATTGTAAATTAAAGGGGTTTATCAGGGCGAGGACTTGGCTTAGTGCTTCTGGGGAAGCCTAGGTCAGAACAAGTAGTTTTTCAGTAATGACTCTCTCAGTATTATCATATTTATAAGAATAAACAGATTTAGGGAAATGCCCCCATTCTTACTCCTTCTTTTGTCCCCATATAGCACTACAAGGCCAGTTTGACTGCAACATTCAACTTGCACCCGGTACGTCAGCTGTTCTATTTTTGCCAGTCTAGAGAGGACTATTCATTTAGAAAAATTCCGCTTTAGAATATGCTCTTCTATGTAACTACTGAGAGCAAGTTTTAATTAATTAAAGGAGTTATAGCAAATAAGTACCTAATGCAAACCTGGAAGTTGCAGAGGCTGTTTTATTTAAACATAACATGACGGCAAATATAATAACCATGCTTTTTAGAAATACGGGTTTTGATGATTTAGTTGTTACTGAAAAGGAATGTTCTTATATTCTGATGAAGATAATACATTGCTGGATTGTCAGCTTTTAAGAAATTCTTACACTGAGTGAAAATGTGTATATAAATTTGAAGCACTGTAGGTTCCCTTCTATCCTGATTGTTTTGTAGGATGCAAAGTTTGCTGTGGTATTGGAAGAAGACTTGGACCTTTCCATTGATTTCTTCAGGTATTCATTGAATTCATTTTCTACCCTGGTCCTATTTTGTTTTGCCAGCAAAGAATTGCGGCTGTGTCCCGATACCTCTTCTGTCAGTGTGACTGGCCAGTTTTAGATGAATATATTGCTATTAGTTGACAATGAAAATATAACTCCATTGCAAGGGAGATACTGTAGGACGAGAACTCCTCCATCAAGCCCATCAGAAGAAATTCTGATGGTCAGGAAAGATAACTTAGATCACAGTATGCAAGCTGACTCAGAAAACGTCTTTTATCTGAGAAGTATGGATTAGCATTTTAACACAAGATGAGTCTTTGGATATTAGACAAAATGTCTGCATATGTTTGAAGCTTGTTCAGTATCCCATTTTCTGATTCTTATACCCAAAGTGAGAACATATTTAACTCATGTAACTCATTCGTGTCCTTAGTTTTGCTAGTGCTTCACTGCAATCTCCTTTTTAAAAGAATGCTCCAATCTTAAGCAATTCACAGCATTGCTTTCATAAATCAAATCAGTGTTGGCTTGTTCTTTGAAATTCTTCTCCATTTTCTTAGCTTTCTAAGCCAGTCTATCTATTTGCTGGAAGAAGATGACAGCTTGTATTGCATCTCTGCTTGGAATGACCAGGTTAGTTATCTGTTACCCTGATCTTCCTTCTTATCACATTTCACCTCATTTCCCCAAACATGGGTGAAGGACTGTATGATAGGTTTCCTGCTGGGGAAGATTTCCTAAATCTTTCTCTTTTGTTAATTAGGGATACGAACATACCGCTGAGGATCCTTCACTTCTGTATCGTGTAGAGACCATGCCAGGCCTGGGCTGGGTGCTAAGAAAGACTATGTATAAGGATGAATTGGAGCCCAAATGGCCAACACCAGAGAAGGTCAGTCTGTTTTCACAGTTTGTTTTTCCTTACTGAATAAGACCCTGTGTGTGAGTGTGTGTGTGTGAGTGTGTGTGTGTGTGTGTGTTAGGTTGATGGCCACTTTTGTATTACTACCCTCTGGTATTCATAATGAGTTAATGATAGCTTTTCTTGCATTGTTGGGATTATAGTGTACTCTTTCTAACCTTTGCAATTTCCAAATAAGTAAACTCAGCATTATTACTAAAGACCATGTTGGCTGAGAAATTCTACAAGATGGAACCTATATACTGTATCTAAAATGCAACCCAGGTTCAGGAAACCTGCTCCAACGCTGCATTCAAAAAGCTTCCTTAATTGGGAAAAGTTATTATGACCAGGGGGGCATTTGCCCAGGTTCGCCTGGTGCACCAGTTGTGCCCCTACCTGAACCGGGAGGCTCTCACA